TAGCGAACTTCGAGGACGAAGTTTAGTTTAAGTGGGGGAGAGTTGTAACACCCGAAATTAGAAAGGTAAAGAAAGGAAAGGAAAACCATAAGTTAAAGAGGGTCGACTCGTCGAGTCCAGGAAGGAACTCGGCGAATCGGAGTGGGATCCTAGTGTAAAGTAAGTGACTGACTCGGCGAGTCGGAGTATGTACTCGGTGAGTCCGGTCTGAAGAGGGAAACCCTAAATCCGGGACTTTGGGCACTATTTAAGCATCTTATTCTCTCCATTAGGGTTCCATATAGCCTTTCTCATTCAGAAACCGAAACCTTAAGCCCCCATCATTGCTCATTCAAGTTTCTTGCCATTGTTTGGGTGATTTGAAGAAAGAAGGAAGGAAGGAACCATTGGGGATTCAAGGGTTTGCAGTAGATCCAAAGTTTAAGGACCTTTCCAGAGCAATTCAAGGTAAGGAGTCGTTACCTTCCCTTTCTTGCATGTAAATCAATCTTGATTATGAGATTTGGGACTCTTATCCCATGTTCTTGAACCATTTCGAGTTAAAGCCCAGATCTGAAGTTGCTACTTCAGATCTAAGTGTATTTTGGCCTAGAGAGTAATAAAGTATCAGTCTTGGGGGTGTAGATGAAGCATGGTTGTCTTAAAACCTTGCCCTAGAGTGTTTTGAGCCTAGATCTCCTTAGTTATATGTAAAGTTTGCAACTTTACATGGGATATATGATTTGGAGCCCTTGCATGGCTCGAAAAGCCACTGAATGGATTAAGAACTGAAGAGACTCGGCAAGTCACATGGGTGGACTCGGCGAGTTGGATGAAGATAGGCAGGAACTCGACGAGTTGGAAGAACAACTCGGCGAGTCTGTTGAAGATTGCCTTAGACTCGGTGAGTCTGTTCATGGACTCGGCGAGTCAGGTCGCAAAACCCGAAACCCTTCTAGTTATGACTCGGATCGGTGAGTTGAATGGAGACTCGGTGAGTGGAGCAGGCTAGAACTCGGAAATCAGTAGACTCGGCGAGTCATGGTCTGACTCGGCGAGTCGAGTCGCGATTAAAAGGGGTTTCTGAGCTTATGAACTCAGTGAGTCAATAGGCTGACTCGGAGAGTAGGGTCAACCTAGAAGGTTGACTTTGACCAGGACTTTGACTTTGACCAGAGTTGACTTAGTTTGACTGATTGAAGGGCAGTTTGGGACTAAGTGTTATATTTGGTATTAGTAGATCGAAGAGTTTTTTGGAGCAGCAGTTCGAGAGTTGTCTGATAGCAGTTAGAAGGTTATCAGCAAGAACTTCAGCGGTGCAGGTGAGTTTCCTTCCAGTAGGAATGGGTCTAAGGCCACAATGTCGGCCCGTTTAGCTAGCAGTAGTTTTCGGATTTCAGTCCGATGTAGTAGTTAGTATGTTTGATGCCTTCGTGGCTCAGACAGGATTTATGTGTTATGTGTTCCGGGCTACGGCCCGATGCAATATGCAGTATATGTGTGTTCATGCTAGTTGATATGTTTATGTTATGCTATGTTCAGTTAGTTCTGGACTTCGGTCCGATGCAGTTAGTCCGGACTTTGGTCCGATGTAGGGGACAAGGTCCCAGTCAATTTCCGAACTTCGGTCCGATGCAGGGGGCAAGGCCCCAGTTAGTCCGGACTTCGGTACGATGCAGGGGACAAGGTCCCAGTCAGTTTCTGGACTTCGGTCCAATGCAGGGGGCAAGGCCCCAGTTAGTCCGGACCTCGGTCCGATGCAGTGGGCAAGGCCCAATATGTGCTTTATATGTTATGGTATGGTATATGGTAGTTTGGGGGAGCTCACTAAGCTTCATGCTTATGATTTCAGTTTTTGGTTTCAGGTACTCGGTTTTCAAAGGAGGAGCTCGGAGAGGTTGTAGTGCACACACCATAGTCAGTTAGCCTAAGAATGTTTACTCTAATAATAAGATTATGTTTTGGATTAATACTCGGAAATTATGTTATGACTTATGATGCGGTTTTTATAAATATGGTTTTAGTAATGTTTTAAAAGAAATTTATAGTAGTGATTTTTGGGTCCTTACAGGATGGGATAGAGTTTTAATCCCCGATGGGGATAGGTTTGGGTATGGGGATGGGGATAGGGAACAAGAAACCTGGTATACCCGTACCCATTTCCATCCCTAATCGCAATCCATTGTTTTGGGATACAAATTGATGCATTGGAATGTTATTGATTGCAAATGGTTAAAGTTTGAGAAGGGTGTTGAGTGAGGAAAGGTTGTTGGATGAAAAAAGGATGTTGATTGCGATTGGATGCGACTAACTGCTAACGATCTCAAGCCATCACAGTCACTAGTGGATTCGATGTGAATGTGAGCCATTTTAGAAAGAGGTTGGGTGCAATTCCAATTAGTTGCGACTGGTTCCAAACCATCGGAACGAATCCCAATCTATTGTTGTTCGTACGAATGGATGCAAACCTTAGAGCGTTATCACATTGGGATACTCATACTTGGATGCGATTCACATAATAGGTCCGATTGCGATGGAAATTTGGAACCCATTGGGCTCTCATTGGTTCGGATGGGTTGGTGCAAGCTGTTGGGTGTGAAGGCTATTTTGGATCAATGGTATGATGGATTTTCATGTTAATTGTGTGGGCTAGATCCGGAAGATTCTGAAGACGTTTTGATTTATTTTTAGCCTTTATTTAATAGTTTCCTTTTTATTTAATAATTTCCTTTTGTCTATTACTTTCTTTTTATTTTGTAATCGTTTCTAGGGTATAAATAGCCCCTAATGTTGAACATTTTGATTATTGATGAATGACTTGAATTTTAAAGAACTTTGTTCTGTTGAGTTGTGTACTCGCCCCCTTTGTCAATTCTATGACACATATTCTAGGTTGATTCAAATTCAAACCAATAGGTCATGATTTGTCTTCATTGATATTCAATCTATAGGTCTAGATTATTTCTGAAATCAATCATTTTTGTTGTTTCCTTGTCGAGCAAGTTATCATTGTTCTTGTTTTTATTTTGCGTGTCATAAAAAAATAAAAACCCAAAAACAAATTAACCCCAACCCCCCCCCCCCCCCATATTTGTAACATATGTGGTATCAAAGTGTCATATTTATATCAACATCACAAGTTCACCAACGTTTCAATGTTTTTCAATTTTCATTATCATAACTTTGCCTTTAGGGATATTTTGATACATAATTACAAATTCAATCAATCATTATGGAAAAAATGAGATTAGCTTTGTTATTAGTGATCATGATAACCTAATCGAGTTGGGTTGCTAAAACTTCCATCATCATCTCTAGTGACCTAGATATCATCTTCAACCTGTAATTCTAAAACAATCATGAAAACGTTACAATGTAGAAACTTGAACAACTTAATTCAACATTTTGTTGTTGTTTGGAGTCAGAATACACAACTTAATCTATCATTTTTTATGAAACTTTTAATATATGGAAGATAGGTTCGGTTCGCCTTCTACGATGACTCCATGAGTTTAAGCAGAGGCTATGCTGGGATGTGATGCTGACAAAGGTATACCAGTAGAAAGTAGAAGGGCTTTGACCATAATAGAGGAGAAGAATGGACGAGGAGCTAAGGGATATGATTATGTGTGGGCCAAAATCTCTTTATAATACATAAATTTATATAAATAGTTATAAATAAATAAAAATGATGTTAAAATGAAAGTAATAAGTGTATATTAGTCTTTTTAACTAGATTAACCACTAAGGCCAAAACAAATCTAATTTATAGAAACTGTGTTAAAACTTACAGTTAGACTACACTAAAAAAATGGTCCTTGTTATATGCTGAAAATTACCACTTTGGTCCAAAAAGTTTTAGACTTGCACCACTAGTCCAAAACTTTGATTTTATTGTGAGTTTTATCTAATTCAAAATCAAATGTGCTTGAAATGATATTTTTTCCGTTTCTATTTTTTTCTATTTTTTTATTAATTTCATTAAGATAATTAAAATAAAATAAAATAAAATAAAAAACTACCCCTAATAACTCACCCAAACCCCACCTCACCCAATATTTTCCCTCATCAAAGGCTCTATCACTCTCCCACACTTTATTGTTTACCGGAAAATCGTCATCGAAATCCACAACCATTGTCGGAATCCACTACCACAACTGTTAGCATCGTCCTTCATCTTTTCTTATTAGGGTTTCCTCATGTTAGCCTAGCTCTGATTAGGGTTTTTTCACCGCTACCTAGCTCTACCTTCCTTTGTCTTCTTCGATCAGGATCCTCTAAGTCGGATCGCTTCAGATCTATCTCCATCATCATTGAGCTTAAAACCTTCATTATCGCTGCTATGAACATCCCACTATGAAACCCTTGTTGGTGAAGTCTAGGGTTGTAGCGTCGACATTCTAATTTGCTAGGGTACAAGAACGTCGAAACAAGGGTTGATGTTTCAGACGATCGTGGTGGCGTTAAGGTTAGGAGTAGCGACGATATTGATGCCTCCTGCAGGTTGGGGTGAATTGATTTTCCAGCAGGTGGTTAGGACGACGTTATAATTTCTCCTCTATTCTCTCTGCATCTCACTTCTTTCGGTGGTGAAAACAGTTGCATCGTCGTTTTAACCCGTGACCACTACAACCAATGACGGCTTATGGTAGTGGTGATTATGGTTGTGATGTTGATGGTGGTATTAAGTGTTGAACTTCTAACAAAAAAAGCAGATAAAAAATGAGGACTGTTTATTTTTTCTCCTTTGTTTTTATTTATTATAATCAAAATATTAATAAATTTAATAATAAAACTGAAAAAAAAAAGATAAGGGTAAAATTTTCATTTTAAAAAAGTTCAAAACTAGTTGTACCAACTCGCAACAAAATAAAAAGTTTAGACCTTTGTTGCTAGTCTAAATCTTTTTGGACCACAACCACAATTTTAACTAACAATAGGGATCATTTTGGGAGTTTTGTGTTAAAGTTATAGAACAAACATACCAGGGAGCATTCGTGTAAATTTACAAAAGAATGGTAGGCTAGGCTCCAAAAATGGTCAAACAAATGGAGCCTTAATTAAATACGTATCTCTTCAAAGTTTGTTGAAGATGCTGCTGTTTCTCGAAAGATGTCGGGACCAGAATGCAGTGCGAATCCACCGGAGGTGAACAGTGTTTTTGGAAAAGGCAGCGTCGAAGAAATCGGAGGCCTGAAAGCATATATTACTGGAAATCCCACTTCCGATCGAGCCATACTTCTTGCTTCTGATGCTTTCGGTATAATTTCACTACTCATCATCCATCACTCATTTATTATTTGTACTGAATTCCATATTGGTATTTTCTTGTACTTCATTTTAACAATAATATGTCACTTTGGATATGAAAGATGAGTCAATTTTGGGATTTGGTCTCAACCCATTAAGTTTTCAACTACAGAATTGTTTGTGGATTTGTTAACTTTACGTAATAGTAACCATATATAAGTTGTGACTTTAGACAAGAAATTAATGATGTTAAATTTATAACAAATACATGTTTTGTTATTTTAAAAGCACCAGATTGAAGTTTGCTGGACTAATTTTCAGAGTAACAAACCCATGAAATGTTTATACAAATACATAATCCAAATAGGAAACTTCTTACTAGCAACGTACTTCGACTTTTTTATGTGTACTTACGTTTTTTTCCTGAAAATAGTAGCAATATGTAACCAAAACTTGTAAAGCACTTACACACAAGTTTCTATTTACATATATGTTATTATCACTGAAAAGAATATAAGTATGTGTCCTACTTTTAATTTTCAGGGAAATTCAAATTGAAAAATGTAAATTTTGTAATAAACTCAAAACGAAAAACCCTTAATACCCACAACAGCATACCCGATATCCAACATCTATATAAGTGTGCATAATTCTTAAAAACTTTTTTTTATATTCAATTTGTACACTAGAAAATTGAAGTTTTCTTTCTAATAATACGTATGCAGGCTATGAAGGAGTTATGCTAAGGTAATTGTGAAAAACAGAATTACAATTTATGCAAACCATAAGCGTTATGTGAGATGTAAAGGGCCTAATATGACATACACAAACAGAAAATAAGATGTTATTCGTAATGGTATTTCTTTGCATATCCTCACATCAAAAAGAAAAGCACCTAAGTGTTTATTTTTTAAATATTAATTAGTAACTATTTTATTATTTTTACATAACCAGGAAACTGGGTGACAAAATGGGTGATATTGGATACCTGATTGTCGTTCCTGATTTCTTCTTTGGGGATTGTTATTACAGCACGATGCCTCCACAACTCCGAGAAAATTGGTTACCTAATAATCCTCCCGTTAGTTCTCAAATTTCTCATCATTCATTTCAATTTTCATTAATGATGGCTACTACGTTAATAATATTCTAGATGTAGTAGCTATTCTTGAACGAAAAGTTATCAAATGCCGAAACATGAATTTGGATGATGATGATTTTTTTTAATACCATTTAATAATTTTAACAATAGATACAAGGAAGGAAGCGTAGTTTGTAACTTTATGATAAATATATCACTTTGATGCATTTTTATAGGAAAAAGGATGTGAAAACGCATTGAAGATAATTGCTGAACTTAAAACTAGAGTATCTGCTGTAGGGGCTGCAGGTTTTTGCTGGGGAGGTAAGTTTCTTCTTTGTGTACATAAGATTACAATGTGGAGGAGGGCATTAAATGAAAATTTGTTTAAAAAGAAATTAATTGTGTGTTTGATTGAATTAAATGAAAATTGTTCAATGTTTGTGCACAATTAATTAATTTATCATGTGTTAGGGATGATGGTCATCAAACTAGCAAAATATGAGGACATTAAGGCGGCAGTTATATTGCACCCAGGTCGCTTGTCATACAATGATGTTAATGGTACGTTTTTAATATATTTTTTCCCCATTTAATTTCTTTGGTATGGAGTTGGGGATAATAATAATAATAATCATAATAATAAAGCAACCAAGTTTTTTTATTATTTTATTTTATGACCCGAAATGTTGTTTTAGAGGTGAGGGTCCCAGTTGCAATTTTAGGTGGGGAGCTTGACCAACTATGCCCACAAGAAGAAGTGGAGCATTATGGGAAGATTTTAGCAGCAAAACCACAAGTAAGTTCCTTTTATTCCATGACCTAACTTTCTATAAAAAGAAAAAAAAAAAAAAAAAAAAAAGGATTATGTTTTTTTGGGGAAAAATACAGAACAAAAATTATTATTTCACCGCTTAACAAGTAAAAGTGTATTTATCTAATAAGGATCAAAATTATAATTTCAGCCCTTAGCAGCAAAACCACAAGTAAAGGTGTATTTATCTAATTAATAATGAAAAATTAAAGAAATTGTATTGTGGTACAGGTGGAGAGCTTTGTGAAGATATTTCGGGGTGTTGGTCATGGATGGGCTTCCAGATACAGGGAGGATGATGAATCTGCGGTCAAGAGTGCCGAGGAGGCGCACACAGACATGCTCAATTGGTTTTCCAAGCACCTCATATAATTATATTATATTTATATACTATAGAATATAATAAATGCAAAACGTTTTTCAAATATCAAATGAACGAATAAAGAGATCCTTGTGTAACATGATCTTTTTTTTCTTTTTGAACGGGCGAATAATTGATATATAAAAATGACTGATACCACACCACTTCAGAATCGAGATATTTTTGCTCACTTCTGACCTCAGTTTCCAAAGATTTTTGGGTCTATTAAGACCATCACGATAGAGTATTTTGATGAGCGTTATGCTGCTTTGTCTGAAGCTATCACTGCTGCAGCCACCGCAGCCTTTGCGGCTGTAGGGGTTGGATCGAGTCGGGTTTTTCAGTATCGGAACTTCGAAAATATGAAGCCACCGAGTTTTGATGGAGTTCAGGATCCGATCATAGCCATGAGGTGGCTATCTGATGTTGTTAAGTGCTTTTTCACTTGCTCGTGTCCAGTTGACCAGAAGGTCAGTGCACCTTGAAACTTTTGAGGTCCAGAACGAAGGATTGGTGGAGACTTGTTACCAGCTCGTATTGTCCTGAGCAGAGAGTTGTTGTGGCTTGGGATCAGTTCTTGGAGGTGTTCCATTCTAGGTATGTGTCGCTGGTGGAGCATGAGAGGTTGACCCAAGAGTATTTGGACCTAAGTCAGGGGACGGAGTTGGTGACGATGATCACAAAGATGTTCACATGGAGAGCTATGTTTTTTCCTGAGTTTGCTACGTCTAAGCTGGCTCAGATGACCCGATACTTGAGCATGCTCAAGACGAAGATCAGAAAGTTTATTTCCACTCAGTGTTATGGTTCCTTGTTGGAGTTACAAGGGGCCGCCAGGCTGCGTGAGATTGAGATTGGGTTACAAATGAGGGAGCAAAGACCGGCCCTGACGCAGTCACAGCCTGCACTAAAGCGGTTTATGACCGCTGATGTCAGATCTGGGGGACGAAATGACCGCACTTGTGGGAAGTGCGACAAGGTTCATGAGGGAGCGTGTTGTCTATCTTTTGGGTTCCATAATTGTAGCCGATAGGGCCATATGGTGAGGGATTTCCACCAGCAGGCCCCAACACTCAACACCAGGATTTGTTTCCATTGTGATCAGGTCGTCCATGTGAAGGAAAACTGTCCCTCGCTTGTTGCTAGGCCGGAGCAGGCTCCAAAGTCGGCTACTTTGAGGATCACTAATGGGAGTCAAGGTAGGGTGGAGCCCCTGAGGGCTCGAGGACGCACTTTCTAGCTCACTGTGAGGAGGCTAAAGCAGCTCCAGATGTTGTGACTGATATTCTTCTATCCATTATTATGTTGATTACAATTTATGTTATTCTTATCTTTGTGCCTTTACTAGGTACATTCCTAGTGAACTCTTTGCCTGCTCTAGTGTTGTTTGACTTGGGTGCGAGTCGGTCCTTTGTATCTTGATCATTCAGTAGAGAGTTTGATATACACAATCGGGAGTTAAAGTGTCCATTGTGGGTTTCTATCAGTGTATTGTGGTTGTGTTGTGGAGATCTGCAAGGCACCTTATCTGTTCGATCTGATCCCTATCCCTATGGGGGATGTTTGCATGATTGTAGGAATTGATTGGCTGAGCCGGTTCGGTGCTATGATTGATTGAGGGCCAATGTGTGGTAGTTCGAAGCCCAAGTGAGGGAGAACTGGTTATCTATGGAGAGGGCACCGAGATGGGTTTAAGGTTTCGTTCTGCAGCCAGGGCTCGATAATATATTCAACATGGGTGTACGGGTTATTTGGCTTATGTGGTGGATATGCGTGTTAGGGATCAAACTTCAATTTCAGAGGTCTTGGTTTTTCGGGAGCTTGCAGATGTATTTCCTTGAGGAGTTACTCGGTGTGCCTCCCGAGAGGCAGGTCGAGTTCAGGATTGACCTTGTGTCATGTGCGGCCGCGATTGCCAAGGCATTGTACTGCTTGGCACCGCCAGAGATGCAAGATCTGTCATCTCAGCTACAGCAGCTACTAGGCAAGCAGTTCATCAAATCGAGCAGTTCTCCATGGGGAGTGCCGATTTTGTTCGTCAAGAAGAAGGATGGTTCACACCAGATGTACATTGATTACCGAAAGTTGAATAAGTTAACAGTGAAGAACTGTTATCTCCTCACATAGATTGATGACCTCTTTGATTAGTTGCAGGGTACATATTGGTTCTCCAAGATAAATCTGAGGTCTAGGTATCATCAGGTCAGGGTGAGAAAGGAGGACATGGAGAAGATCGTGTTCCGGACTTGTTATGGGCATTATGAGTTCGTAGTGATGTCATTTGGGCTCGTCAATGCACTTTCAATATTTATGGATTTGATGAATTGAGTATTCAGTCTGATGCTCAATCGTTCGGTTATTATGTTCATTGATGATATCCTGGTGTATTCCAAGACCATAGAGTAGCATTATGAGCATCTTAGTGAGCTTCTAGGGGTTTTGAGGTGAGAACGAATTTAAGCAAAGTTCTCAAAGTGCGAGTTTTGGTTACGAGAGGTTCAGTTCCTTGGACACCTCGTTAACCAGGATGAGATATTGGTCGATCTGGCCAAGGTCGAGGTCGTGATGCAGTGGGAGGTTCCAAAATCTCTCTCGGATATCAGGAGTTACTTGGGTTTGGCAAGGTACTATTAGAGATTCATTAAGGATTTCTCCAAGATTGCAGTACCCCTCACTCATCTGATGAGAAAGCGAGTGGATTTCTGAAGGGCCCTGAGCAGCAATCGGTATTTGAGACCTTTCGGCGGAGACTATGTAAGGCCCCGTTATTGATGCTCCCAGAGGGAATTGAAGATTTCGTGGTATTTTGTAATGCATCAATCACTGGTGAGGGGGCGGTCCTCATGCTGAGAGGATGGGTGATAGCTTATGCTTCGGGGGAGCTGAATCCGCACGAGACACGATATCTCACACATGATATGGAGTTAGGGGTAGTGGCTTTTCCCCTTAAGATTTGAAGGCACTACCTTTATGGGGTCCATTGTACTATCTACATGGATCACAAATGTCTGAGGCATATTATGGATCAGCCGAACCTAAACATGAGGCAGCGCAGGTGGCTGGACGTAGTCAAGGATTATGACTGTGAGATTCTTTACCATCCGGGTAAAGCGAATGTAGTGGCAAATGCTTTGATCTGTAAGTCGGATGGACTTTCAGTTGGGGTATCGTGTGTGACGATATCAGTGGATTTCCCTACTTTTGGGATTGATCAGGGAGGCTCAAGCCGAGGATATTCGCGAATAGAATTGGAAGAAAGAGAGGATTGGGGGTGACATTTTTGGGTTTGTCTAGGATAACCGTGGGTTGTTAACCCGATGTGGACGGGTATGGGTTCCGATATCTGGCGGGGTCAGACAGATTGTGTTGGAAGAGGCTCATAAGTCTTGTTTTTCTATTCATCCGGGGACCACCAAGATGTACCGGGATTTAAGATTGAGCTATTGGTGGCCGTGTATGAAAATGGAGATAGCCTAGTATGTGGAGAGATGTATAACCTACTAGATGGTCAAGGCTGAGCAATAGAGGCCGCCTGGCCAGCTCCAGCCTCTGGAGGTTCCTGTGTGTAAATAGGAGCAGATTCTGATGGAATTCATAACCAAGTTGCTGAAGACGGCAAAGGGTTTTGATCCTATATAGGCCATCGTGGATCAATTGACCAATAGTATCCACTTTCTGGCGATTCAGGAGAGTTCTTCAGCCAAGAAGTTAGTCGTTGTGTATGTTCACGAGATCGTTGCTCGCCATGGGGTTCCGGTCACCATTGTTTCTAACCATGATTTTTGGTTCACCTCCCGTTTTTGGCAGAAATTCCATGAGGACCTGGGCACGAGGTTGCACTTCAGCACTTCTTAGACCGACAACCAGAGTGAACGGACGATACAGACCCCTGAGAATATGTTGTGGGCTTGTGTTATCGATTTTGGTGGGAGCTCGGACTCCTACCTATGTCTTGCGAAGTTCTATTACAACAACAGTTATCACTCCAGCATTGGTGCTTCTCCTTTCGAGCTCATGTATGGGTGGAGATATCGAACCCTGGTTTGTTGGGGCGAGGTTTGTCATAGGGTTATGGGGAGGACCGAAGTAGTCCTTCAAACCATGAAGATAATTCAGTAGACCTGGCAGAGATTGTAGATTGCTCAGAGTCGGCAGAAGAGTTATGTCGACAAGCGCTAATCCGAGTTGGAGTGTCAGGTCAGCGATATGGTGTTACTGAACGTCTTACCTTGGAACGGTGTGACACGCTTAAGGAATAGGGAAAGTTGGGTCCCCAGTATATTGGTCTGTTTCGAGTGATCACCAGTGTTGGCGAGGTTGCTTACAGCTTGGATCTTCCCGAGGAGCTCAGTCAGATTCAAAACACTTTCCATATTTCACAATTGCAAAAGTGCATATTGCATGTGGATACAGTGGTTTCCTTGGATGATATTCAGGTTGATGAGCGCCTGAACTATATTGAGAAGCCGGTGGCTATCCTGGAAAGGAAGGTAAAGGTTTTGAGTAGCAAGTAAGTACCTTCGGTAAAGGTACGGTAGCAGCACCGGAGGGGCACCGAGTGAACCTGGGAGCCGGTGTAATGCCCGTAGATCTGGGCTAGTCAATTTAGAGGTAATAGGGGTCGAAAATGACTTTTCGACAAAATAATATTTAGCATAAATAACCTTAACGAACTTGTAGAATATGTCACAAGGTTTCCGTGCATATAAAGAGCGTCGAAATCTGAGTTATAACGAAGAAGTTATGACCTGTCGAAGTTTCGCGACGGAACCGGCACAACACCGGGAAGCGTAAATAGTAATTTTACGATGGAGGACTTTTTAGACTTAGTGATCTAAACGAAAGTCGTAGAATATGTTAAACCGAGAAAATCCATAAAAAGAACGCCTAAATCTGACTTCGTATGAAGATGTTATGATTTTTCTAAGATTTGGCTTAGCAGTGCACGGCCCGAAACTCGAATTTTAGTTCGAGTGGTTTTTGGCTTACGTGACTTAAATAAGATTTTAAA